CTAGGAGAAAAAGGAGGAAGAGAAGGAGGAGGATGAGGATGGCTGCCAAAAGGGGTTGGTTTTCGTTATAGTGAAAACCTGCTTCTAGCCATATCCAAGAACCCAAGAACGGGCATGATGGTATGTGGTTCCTTTCATAAGGTCATACGGGATACTGAATACGTCGGAAATAAATTGATAACACCACTGGGAATGTCAGAAACCGTCTCTACTATCTGTAAACACATTCGTCTATATATTTTCCATCATCTTTCTCTCTTACTCATCCCCATACTCCCACATTATCTCTCTCTCTCTCTCTCTCTCATTCACTCACTTTATTTCATTTACTTTTATCTTTTCTCACTTTCTCTTACACATTCGCTTATATATTCTCTTTCTTTCTCACTCACACATACTATATTTCTCTCTGTCACTCTAATTCATTTACTCTCTCTATCTTTCTCTCTCTCACTCTTTCATTTTATCTCATTCGCTGTTACCTTCTCTCACTTTCTCTAACATATTTATTTATATATACTCTCTCTCTCTCTCTCTCTCTCTCTGTCACATTTTCTTTTTCATTCTCTCTCTCTCTCATTCTATCTTTTTCTCTTTCTTTTACACACTGATTTTATTTCATTCACTCTTACCTTTTCTTACTTTCTCTAACACATTCACTTATTTATTCTCTTTCTCTCTCACTCATACACTCTTTTTTTCTCTCTCTCTCTCTCTCTCTCTCTCTCTCTCTCTCTCTCTTTCTTTATCTTTGTGTTTCTCTCTGACACGTTGTAGTATGTATCTATCTATCTCACACCGTTAGTCCTTTCGTTGGTATCATACTGAAAGCTACGTTTTATAGTGTGTGTGTGTGTGTGTGTGTATGTGTGTATGTGTGTATGTGTGCACACTGGTTTTTGAATCCTTCAGACGAGAGTAATCGATCGATATTATGATTCACTATTGAATTTAACGCATAGTTGGTACGATAAAGAATATTATCGATATCGTTATCGAGGGTATTCTTCGAGGACCACACAGGATAATAAAAAAAAATAAGAATTAGAAAGAAGAAGGATCTATGAATTTATTATAACTATCCTCGTAAAAATGTTCTTTTCCGATCAGTTATTATTTTGATGTTAAAAGATTCTTTTATAAGATTGTAAATCATTTTTGTTTTATTTTTCGTTAATAATTCATTTCAATGATATGATTTTTAAATCTTAAAGTCGTAATTATAAACAATATTGTATTGCAATTGTTACAAAATTATTAATTATTATTTAAAAATCTTGACTTTAAAATATTATAATATTAATAATAAGAATAAGGGGAGTATTTTTATTAGAAAGATAAATCAAATTGATTCACATCTTCTAAATTCATTTGTTTCTTCTTTTTTTAATCATGTGATTTCTTAAACATAAAATCGTAATTATAAACAATATCGTATTGAAGTTGTTACAAAATTATTTATTGTTACTTACAAATCTTGACTTTAAAATATTATAATATTAATAATAAAAATAATAAGGGATGTATTTTTTTATAAGAAAGATAAATCAAATCGATTCACATCTTCTAAATTCATTTGTTTCTTCTTTTTTTATTCAAACATGAAGTCGTAATTATAAACAATATCGTATTGCAATTGTTACAAAATTATTAATTATTACTAACAAATCTTGACTTTAAAATATTATAATATTAATAATAATAATAAGGGAAGTATTTTTTTAAGAATGATAAATTAAATCGATTCACATCTTCCAAATTCATTTGTTTCTTCTTTTTTTAATCATGTGATTTCTAAAACATGAAGTCGTAATTATAAACAATATCGTATTGCAGATTTTACAAAATTATTAATAATTATTCATACATATCAAAACTTCAAATATTATTACTTTAATAATATTAATATAAATAATAATTCAATTAGTTGTTTATCACGTCGAAAAATATAATTATTAATAAATAAATCACAGAGGGAAGTTAGACAAGGTAAATCAGAACTTTATGTTTCGATCTTGTTCAACATTTCATCCCTTTATTGAAACTTCTTCAACAGCTATACAAAATATATTACATAACCTCAAAAATACTTAAAAAACTACTACATATATTTATATATATACCTATTATAACTTTAAAAATTATTAATAATAATAATAATAAATAAGAGAATATTTATAAGAAAAATAAATCAAATCGATCCACGTTTCCTAAATTCATCTTTTTTTTGTTTTTTATTTTGTTCTTTTCTCTTCTTTGATCCGATCAAAATCACTCGACACGTCGTTTGTGTTGGTAAAAAGAAAGAAAAAAAGGAGAAAAAAAATTGGAATAAAGGTAGAACACGAAGGTAATGGGAAAAGAGGAGGAGTAGGTGGTTGGGGGTGGTGGTGGATGGGGTAGGAATGGGGTGGAATAGACGAAGTATTGTCCAAAAATAAGTTGGAACGATCGGGGAACGAAAGCGGGTCGGTTGTTTACGGGTCAACCTTTCGTAGCTTGAAACGAAATCTTTTTATTTTTCTGTCGTACCAAAGCATATGAGAATGAAGTTTGAATTTATGTGTTTTTTTTTTGCCGACCACTTTCTTTTCTTTTTTTCCCTTAACTGTCTTATTTTAACCCCCACCAACCTCACCCCACCCACAGTCAAAAGGACAGAATGGAACAGAATATTCGTTGTTTTTTTTTCCCTTATCGATAATATTTCATTCTTTCTGTCATATTTTCTTGTTAACGAAAAAAACGTCCTTTTTTTTCTATTCATGATCGATGGGGTTATCCCATTCCTTCGAACTCGTCCCCCAGTTTCATTAAAAAAAGTGTCTTTCATTCGATTTATCGATAAAATTATCGATTATTTGTTCGATTCGAAAGAAATTATTATATATATATATATATATAAATGTGTATACTTTTGTTTTATTGTATATAGTGCGATACCTTTATCGAAATAATTGGCCACTAATTAACTTCAACGAATAATCGAATCTTTAATACAACACAATCCGGGTTTGACCGATATTTCCATTGTATTTTTGCACGAATAAATATTCAATGGTATTGTTTAAGTTTGTGTGTTGGAGAAAAGAAAAAATAGTTAACAAAAGGACAGATCGAATTGTTAAAAATATTCGAAGAAAGGTCATATCAATAATAAAATATTGCAAAATGTTATGCAAGTATATTTCGTGACGATAAATAACTTTATTGTTTTTTATTATTTAACAATAAAGTGTCGTATTGTTCGAAAAATTGTATGAAAAGAAGTTGCATTTGATAAACGAATGTTCTGAGAAAAAACAATTAAAAACAAATGGACAAATGTTTATTGTTCCCATTTTTCTTTCATTCTTTTTATTTTCTATGTTATTAAATGAATTTTTGTTACAACAATAAGGAAGCTTTGGGTAATTTAAAACGTTGAAAATAAATAAGTATATTAATGCACTCATGCGTGATATTAATTTATTACTTTTCTTTAAATAATTAAATGCTAAAGCTTTTAGAGTAGAGTAACATGCAAATATACTCACGAACGTGAGAATTTGCTGTCTCTCGTTTCCCAATTTCTATCGTTATAAACATTTCATCTTTTTAATTAACTAAAATCACGATGGTGTATCATTTCAAACAACTTGTTTTTAATTATTAACAAATAATCTCGTCAATATTTAATATACGATAAACTAACATTGTCGTATAAGGATCATTATAATTATAACAATACTGTAACATTTTATTTTGATGAATTCACGTTGAAAAAAAATCTATGTCCTTTTTTAAGATTTATTTAAGCATTCTAATTGATATCAATTGTCAAAGTAATATAATTTTAATCGTATGATAAAACGTTGTTTGATTTTCACGATAATATTTGCATTTACACATATATGATATAATAAAAATATTATTATTATTATTATATTACTTTGTGTTAAGTGTAGCATTTGATTAATCTGTTTTAAATTATCGCAAAACAAATTTTATTATTAATCAAACTTT